ACTTCTAATACAGATAGAAGCTTACTTTTTTTTTATTTTTCAAAGTAGTCTCCCAGCACTGTCACACACTTTTCCCATCTGTGCACAAGCTTCCGTATTCCCTCAGCGTAAAAATCTTTGGACTGATGTCTCAGCCAGTCGCTCACAACACTTTTGACTTCATCGTCACTTTTAAACTTCGGGCCTCTCGTGAACGCTTTCAAGGGACCAAACAAGTGAAAGTCTGAAGGGGCAAGGTCTGGGCTGTAAGGGGGGATGAGGGAGCAATTCCCAGCCCAACTCGTTGATGGTCTACACCGTTTGGGCTGCTGTGTGAGGATTTGCGTTGTCATGATGCAAGATGACTCCTTCTGACTGATGAACCCTTCGTTTGTTCTTCATGTCTTTCTTGACCTGCCTCAGCAGTTCACAGTAGTTCTTCTGTCAGACTGAATGAGGTCATTGACTTATTCGATCATCTCAGGAGACCTCACTTCTGTAGGCCTCCTAGGCCTGTCTTCATCCTCAACACTGCTCCGTCCTTCTTTAAACAATTTAGCCCACTTGTAGACATTTTATTGGCTGAAACATGTAGCACCATACACAGTTGACATTCTCCTATGAATTTCAACTGGTTTGCACCCTTCAGCAACCAAAAACTTGATAACTGACTGCTGTTCAATCCTGGAGAATGCTTATTGGTCGGCCATCTTTGTTAATCGCCAAAACTCAAAGTTTTTTTTAATCTGCAAAAGAAATTAAATCCATGTGAAAAAGAAGTAAAACAAAAAAAAAAGAAATGAAAAAAAAATGTAAGCTTCTATCTGTATTAGAAATCCTTATACCGAAAAATTCACCTTATTTATTGAATGACCCTCATATTATCTACTTCTAGGCAATATTACTCCTCTGGTTTAACTAATTTTCATATTGATTTAAAAAATGTTTATTTGAAGTAAGTGTCCTTCATCACTGTTCTTTTATTCGAGGATTATTTCGATTTTCATATCAAAAATAGTTCTGTTTGAAATTTGCATTTTACTTGCCCTTCAGCAAGTTGGCATCTATTTGTAAAATTTTCCTTGGCTATAACCAGCCAATTTATGAATGAAATGTTCATTTAAAATTTTTGTTTAAAAAATTTCAAATAGTGTATATATCTTACTTTGCGAAACGATAGCGAGCGGGCAAAGCCTGCTAGTATATATATATAAGATAGATAGATAGATATGCATGTGGTGAATTCCATCATTTTCGATGTATGAGGGTCCAACAATTCAGTTTACAAGAAAACCGGCAGACTACCCACACAGAAAATGTTTTTATGGTGCAGACGTCCAGTGTAGAAACCAGCCATACCTTTTGGAAGAACTCATAGTAGAGAAATGGTGCTAAATTAGCCGTAAAGTCTCCAAACATCTTTTCTATGACTAAAAGTATTGTAGCTCAAAAATTAAACAAATTACGAAGGACCAATTTCTTTCTTACGCTACACCTATCAAAATGAAGTTCTATATATAAAGGTCACGAAAGGCATAATCTTCTATCCTCTAAAGATGTCTTGACGCGTAAAACTATCAGTCACCATGCAGATAGATTCCAATGTTCACACTTTCTCACCCCGTGTGTGTGTGTGTGTGTGTGTGTGTGTGTGTGTGTGTGTGTGTCGTATATATATATATATATATATATATATATATATATATATATATATATATATATATTTATTTAAAAATATGATCCCAACGCTACATAAGAGTTCTCATGTTTCAAAACAAGAGCCGAAAAAACTTCAATATAATTATTTGAATTAAATTGAATTAAAGTACTAAGCTCTGTTCCATCTTCAAGCGAATTTTTTGGGGGAATCTATCTATGTCTATATATATATATATTTGATAAATGATCCTCGACCCAAGAAAATGTTCTAATGTTTTGATTACTCAGTTTTTCTAGTGTCCTTCCCCACTTCGTGTTTTATCAGTTGGCTAAGAAATTGTCCATAGTGATTATTTCTCAGATTACGACTACGGAAGTTTCTACACACTCTTTGTCATGTTGAAAAAAGTGTATGAACACTAGAAAATCTGAATACAAAAACACCTTCCTTGTCCATCACATTCAAAAATTTTCCTTACCAAACACATTCAACGAACTATGCGCAAAACGAAATTTTATCCATATATATATATATATATATATATATATATATATATATATATATATATATAATATAGTTTTAAGATATGCTATATTTATAGGGCTCAAATAATATAGTTTTAAAATATGCTATATTTATAGGGCTCAATATCTGAGATGTTATGTAAATATAAAAGTGGATATTGAGGTCAACATGATGATCTGAAGAATGCGTTGTAACATGAAACAGACTCTTACCACCTGATGTTGATCTCAGAATCAATTTTTATATGGGCGTGCGTGTGTGTGTGTGTGTGCGTGTGTGTGTGTGTATGTGTATATATATATATATATATATATTTGTAGGATGTATAATAGTATTCAAAACCAATGTGGAAATATATATATATATATATATATATATATATATATATATATACACATATATGCCTATGAATGACGCATTTCACTGACGCCTATTGGTTTCGGCATTATGTGTATGTGTGTGAGTGTGTGTGTATGTGTGTGTATAGACTTACCCATGCAGTAGATCCACCTTTTTCACATCGCTGAAATGGTTGCCAGGATGTTTCTGAATACAGCCACGAATCGAATTGACTTCGGCGTTTACCGCCGAAGTTTTTCTAATGAATTTCTTTTGCAACAAGACGCTTTTTTAAATCAGTATTTTCCTTCACTTACATGAGATACATGCATTTGTTAACGTGTCCTGTCTTCGCCTTGTATACATACATAAATTAATACATACATACTGACCACTTGATAAAACGAAAAAAAGACAGTATAAAAGAGAGGGAGACGGGTGTTTCTTATCCTAGTGTGTCCCATGCGTTAGGTGGCGAACTCCGTATGACAGAAAAGTTGAATATTGTTTACTTGCTTCATACCATCCTCATTGGTGAGAGTCGGGAATCATGGACTGTTGTTTGGAATTTGAATTCAAGTTTGGACTTTTCCTAGACTGCTTGCCAACCACAACGAGATAGACCAGTCTGTCTCTCCTTAACCCATAACTGGGGAGGATAGGTACAGCCCATTTTAATGGTATTTGTACAAAAGTGTATATAATGAACCCGACTAGAATTCGAACTCAGTTCACCGATTTCTCATTCTGAACAGCTATCCTTTACACTACCCGCACATCCTGAATGCACACACAAACACACACACACACAAACATTCTCTTACACACTGTTCTCTTACACACACACACACACACACACACACACACACATATTCTATGTATTTAGTCAGCAAATTAAAAACGACAGATAATTTTTGTCAATTAGTTTTAATGCTCGACTTTTCCAAATTACAAATAATCCTTCTCAGAAAAAGCGGAAACTCTGTCAAAAATTGTACGAAGTTAAAAAGCAAAACAAAAAAACCCATATCACACGTCACCTACGTCACAAGACTTGTTGTTTATGTCACAACTCTCATTAGTTCTACGAAACTCACCAATTTCCTCTCTCTACCCTGATGATAACTAAATAATGTCCGAAGCTTCGACCATATTCCCTGCACTTTTTTCCTAAATGAACTTCGTACAATTTTTGACGGAACTTCTGAGAAAGATTATTCGTAAAAGTCGATCATTAAAATTAGCCGTCAAAATATCTGTCGTTTTTAATAATAATAATAATAATAATAATATATATATATATATATATATATATATATATATATATATATATATATAATTCCTAAAATGTTCTTCTATCTTATAGACTGGCAAATAAGCTCAGAGAATTTTGCGACGCATGACACAGATTAATTGTAATTTTATGTCATGTGATCATTCGAAAAGATAAAAACTTAATGCCATTCCTCGAATATTTTTTGGCATGTTCTTTGTGCGTGCACCTTAGTAAAAGGTTTTGGGTTCGTGCGCAGATAAAAGGTCACGTCATGCCAAAGCGACCGGCCTTTTCTTGCTTTGAAAACTGAACGGTAAAACTTGATTCTTTTTCATGCTACATTAATGTTCTTTCATTTCTCTTTCACTCTGTCTTCCTCTTTTTCTTTCTATCTCTTATTCTTGTTTTCTCTCTCTTTCTAGTTCTTTTCTTCTCTTTGTCTTTTTTCAAACTTCCCTTTAGCACTATCGCTCTATCTACTCTCTATACTACATACTATCTCTCGTTTTCTCTCTCTTTTTTTTTTCTTCTTTTTTTTTTTGCATTGAATTTAGATAACCAGTGTGTGGTCTTCTGACTCTGTACATTTAATCTGATACTGGTCGATCATTTTGTCAAAATCCTTGGGAGAAAAGGGACTGCCAATTTCGATTCATAGGAATGATACTGCGCGATTAAGTCATTGCCACTCGGACACTGAAATTTTAGACTCTGAAGGTCGATCACTCTTTCATTTGAGACGTTCGTTATTATTTAGTTTCGCCAATATCTTCTTCTCCTTCTGGCTTGTACTTGACATGATCCCGGCTGAATACTGTGCATCTGCTTTCGCTCAATTAACCAGCAATTTTCCTCGAGATGCAACAGACACATTTATTTAGATATCATTCAAAAGCCAACGTCCTTTCTTGTTTCAGCAGATTACAACTCGCGACATCCAATAACAAATATTCAGCGCAATCAACTATTTCTCACTTCACAGATGTCAGTCGATAGATCATCATTGATGACATCTGTGTTACTACACGTTTGAGCGTCGAGTTCTAGGGAAATGAACCAAATAACTAGCACTCATAGACAACGCATTCATTATTTTATATAATTTTAATATGAAGAAAAACGATCTTCAGACCATGTGTCACTACTCTTTTTGCGGGCTGTATATAAACAGATCGTCACGTCATGTCATGTCAAGGCACGGGTCTGGCAACCCATTATGGCTTACGGCCATATCGCATTGAAACACCGGCTCCCGTATGATTACCGCAGTTAACTAACGTCAAGCCTAATAACTAGATGGGTGACCGCTTGGGAATACCAGGTGCTGTAAGCTTGGGTGTGCAGGTGGTGTAATGGATCGAAATTGTTAATCGGGGAGCCGTGTTCCAATTCCCGTTGGGTTGGTTATATTCACTTACGCGCAAATATCCTTGGGAAATCCAAATTATGTTTCGGCTTTAAATAATTCACAGCGGGTTGATAAACTGTAAAAACAGATCAATTTGGAAGCATTATTTATAAGCAAAATAAATCCTTGTAAAATCTACAATCCAACTGCTAGCTCTAAAGAAAGAGAAATAACGCACTTGAAGTGGCCAACAAGAAAACGGAGACGAGTGATCTTTATTGGCCGGGATGTGCCTTTTTTTTTTTTTTTAAAAAAAAAAAAGGTTTTTATTCCTTTCAATAACTCTCTAGAGTGTGGTTGACGATTCTGTGAAACAACCTCTCGAAATAATCGATATATTGCTTATGGGCATTGCTACCATTGAGAGACGAAGTGAAATAAAATGTATTTTTCATCTACAACCTTGGTGTTTTGTGAATACCTCAACATCACTCATTTTGTACGTGAACCTCGTGTCATTGCGGACATGTATCTCTGAGCGTAAGACACCTTCTCACTCTCCAAGGATTCTGAACTCACACAAAGCTTCCCAAGTGACATCACGAAGTACCAATTCCTCAGGCAATCGCAGTTACAAGCTTTAAGGTGTAGCAGCTGAACTACTGAAAGAATGACTACAAAAAAAAAAAAGACTATGGAACTGTATGAATCTTTTCTCTTTGAAAATTATTACAAAGGATAATTAAGTAAATTTTCTTTTTTAATATTTTGTATTTTGTGAAGTTTATATAAAGGGTGCGCTCTGTATTTAAAACCCCAACCTTATTGAGCCATAACTGGAAGACTAGCTACATTTTAACATGCGTTCTCATTTCTGTTTCAGATGTATCGAGTGCAATAACATACAACTTCCAATCGGACATGGAATGAAAATATAAGCGTTACTTGTGAACTAGTCACAAATTACATCGATTCAAAAAGAGCGAACTTCCTTGATGGTGACCGAATGAATCCAAGTGAATCCAACCCACAGAGATGCACAAGTTTCTATTGTCTTTGGAATGTCAGGAAGTCATCAGGAATGAGGGTCATTTCGTGCCGCCCCCTTTTCCTGTAATTTCTGATCAGCCAGTAACGTGTAAGATCTTTATTCATTATTAACCAAAAAATAAAACTAAATATTACTGACCGTGATATATATTCTTTATTTTCTATGTGCCCTCTCTCTTCAGGCCAGGACGATCATGACTCTCCACAACTTCCTATCCTTTGTAGCTTTTAACAATGTGTCCTTTTAATATCACTCTTTGTTTTGCCATCTATTTACAGAAGATTTTAGGAAGGTTTCTTATTGCATTCTGTCCCTTTTGCCTTTTTATACCTTATGAGCATCAACTTTACCAAGCCTTCATTCCTCGTTATTAATCCTAGAAATGTCAACTATCATTTTCTGATTCTAAGTATAAGAGACTTTTTCCCCATTTTCCTTAAAACTTTATCGTTACCCACAAGCTCCGTCCACAGCATTCTCAATATGCTTTTGTAGAGTTCAAATATTAGTTTTGTTTCGTTCATTTTACACTAATGCCCTTGAAAAGGGCACAAATCTATTTTTCTTTAGGTATGAGATAAACAGCAGGGGAGACAGACAGTCTATAAGAATGAAAACTCTTAATTCCAACCGAAAGAGGGTCGTTTTGGAGACTTCGTAATAGAGTCCATTTATCTGTTGTTAGTTCTTGCAAAGTCTGACCGGTTCTATAAAAACTTCGCTATTTAAAATCATCTAAATTTGTATTCTAGTGTTTCAGTTCTGAATTGAATTTTTAAGCTGTAATATAAAATCATTTAGATAATTTTAATTTCTTATTGACAATGTAGAATTTTACTGTCAGTTATCCTTTACCTTTACAAGAGCCAGATCAGGCTGAAAATGGAGTACTGTTGTCATATTTGGGTGGGAAATGACCAGTTCTCCGTTTCCAGCCTTCAAAACCGTCTCCGAGTCCTTCTGGGTGACGAATTATTTTCCACCCTCTAACCTTTCTCCCACAGTCGGGATGTGGCGAGACTCTCACTGCACTATTGCTACATTCCTTAGTTCCGCTAGGTCTAACCTTCATGACTAGAACACGCCATGCCACTTACATTGTAGCAAATCACCCACACTCTCTCTGTATTCCATCGGTGAGAAGGAATTTCGACTCAAACAGCTTCTTCCCGCTAATCACTGCTCTGTAGAACAAGAGGATATTTCCCCGATCGCTACAATCTTAACGTGTTCAAGTCTACAGTTAACCGTTATCTTATGGAATGTCGTTTTTTTTTTTTTTAAATAAGTTCCAGCTGAAACAGCTTGTGTTCACTTTGTACTAAAGGCATGAATCCATCAGTCCCTGCACTCTGTATCCTTGCCAGATATCTTGACAAAAGCTTCGACACTGGCGTAAATCGATTGAAAAGTGAATATGGTTATGGCGGGG